TTTGGGTGTTGAGTTTGATAAGTTCTTTATAGATTTTGGATACTAGCCCTTTATCTGATATGTCATTTGCAAATATTTTCTCCCATTCTGTCGGTTGTCTCTTGGTTTTGTTGACTGTTTCTTTTGCTGTGCAAAAGCTTTTTATCTTGATACTGTTTTAAGCATTTTCTGTGCATTAACAATCCTCACAGGGAGTGCATGAAATAGATACTGTTATCCTAATTTTACATATGAAAAAACTGAGGCAAGGAGGGGTTAAGTCACTTGCCTGGGGCCACACAGCTAGTTAATGGGGACACCAGCATTTATTTTAGGCAGTTGGACTTCAAAGCTTGAGTAATTAAACCACTATAATATGTTGCCTCTCAAACAATGTTAAAACATTATTGTGGTTTTTAAGTAAAGATGTACCATCCAGATACGACCAAGAATATATCGTAAAAGCAAAGATATGTTTATTTATTTATTTAGTTGTTCAATGTCAATAATTATAAAACTTGATAATTGGAGAGAATAATATTCTGATTCTCCTAAAATGGGAATGAATGTGTCCATTGGATTGATTATGCAAAGGTCTCGATATTGTATAAAGCAGGTAAAATACGCCTTTTCTGTGACATTCGTTTGACTGTTGGTAAACAGTATGCTAGTAATGTACTGAGATATTTTCATTTAAATCTCTGGTTTGGACTTTAGAAAGCTGTTTGTGGTTTGAATGGCCCAGTTGTCTCAAGGAGACTCCTGAGAAATGTGCACCAATACTTTCTTTTACCTTCACTTCTGCAGGATAGTGTACGTAGGGGCCATTGTTCCAGATTAGTAGTTTTTCTCTATGGCTTCCATAGGGTCTGCTGAAAAGTCAGCTAAATATCTTGTTGGCGGGGGGGATCCAGTGGTCTGGGTGGCTTTGGCTGAAGGCAGAAAAGTGGCTCCTAGCTTCTGGGTGGATCTGATGGAGTTCTGAGGTTAATGGGGAAGGTCCCTCTGAATGCTGTTTGTCTGTGTTGCACTAAATCCTCAGGGCGGTGAGAATAGTTTGGTTAATGGATCACTAAGCATTCTGCTCTTATATGTAGAACCTTAAGCAAATACCCATGAGCTCACTCTTTTCTCTTTTCCTCCCTGCCCCCTCCGTCTTTCTCTCTCTCCCTGGATCCCTCCCTGTCTGCAGCACAGACCCTGGATCCTGGGGGCTTATGGAATATGGGCCTCCTGGTGTGTGCTGGGGGCCCATGGCACCGCCATTATTTTTCTCCACACCCTCATCTCCTTCTGTGTAGCCCAGTTCCAGTCGCTGGTCCTCACATGGCTCTGTTCTCTCCTCCTGCTCTCCACACTGAGGCTGCAAGATGTGGAGGAAGTTAAGGTAAGTGTCGCTGTTTTACTCTTGGGAAGGAGAAGCTGTCTTTGGCAGTGCTTCCATTGGGTAGATGGCTTATGTTTCAGCCAAGAGTCAATTGAAGAACCATGGTGGGGGTCCCCCTAGTGGTCATGTGGGGTTGATACATGTGAATCCTGGTGTGTTGCATTCTGCAGTCTTGCCTTTTGGATCTATGTCTTAGCTCTCTAAGGTTGCCCAGGGTTGACCTTGTACCTCTTTTCACAGTTTGGTAGGCATGGGTGATGCCAGATGTTGCAGAAACAGAGGGCAAGGAACAATGGGAAAAGAAAGCAATAGTCTTCTGTACATTTAATAAAAAATCATCTGTAGAGTGCTCTACAATTTATAGGAAAATTTCACATTCCTTATCTCATCCAATGCCCATGATAGCCCCTGAGACAGATAAGGCAGGTGTTTTCCTTGCCCAGAAAATCTTAGGAAGTTTTGATATTCTTTCTTTAGTCATCGTGGGACTGACATTCCTGTGGTATCTTTATTTTTGTTCACTTGTTCCTTCACTCATTCATTGATTCAAGTGACAGTGCTTGGCAAGGTTGTGGAAAAGAACATGAAGGGAAAGATGAGTCAGTGGATGACCTGGTTCCCCTGCTCTTCTAGTAACTGTCTGTCCTACTCTTGAGACTGGAGGCGGTCATTTAACCCGAGTCTCAATTTCATCATTTCGAAAATGGAAGTAATAGGTGCTCTGACTTCCTCATGGAGTTGTTCTGAGCCTCCTTTAAGATGATATCTGTTAAGTGATTTTGTAAAAATTGTAGCCTTTTGAAAATTCACTTATTTTTTCTGTTATACTATCTTAATTTTCTTCACTCTCACCAACAGATTGGGGCTAATAACACTAAGCACATATGTTAAAATCCGGACTTAAGGAAGTGGGGGAACAGCTCCATCTTCCCACAGTGATTAACCAGGTGATCACTTAAATACATGTGCTTGAAAATAGATCTGCAATACAAATAAAAAGGAATTCATACCTAACTTTTTGGGGACCTGGCAAATGTGTGAAACAGACTCCAGTGGTAATTATCATTTGTTTGGGGATAGTTAGTATCAGTTATGGATGTTGGTGGTGAATAAGCATTCCATTTTTTATGTGCAGACTAGAGATTGGAAAAATACTGCCCAACGGGAACAGATGACCAGAAACTAGTTGCTTTTGGTTTTCATGCTTTTGCACAAGTATTTCTCTCGGTCTTTCTTGGTGGCTGCTGAAGTCCTGGGCATGGAATAGAAATTCTTAAGAAAAACAAAAACAAAACAAAAAAACCAGAAACTCTTTGGTGCTCAGTTTTTCTGTGGAAAGCCCTAAAAGTACCCCCATGCATCACATTCACTGTTCCTTCCTTTGTCCCAATTTTCTATCTTGATTTCCCATAAATTGTTCTTCTCCTTAAAAAAGCAATACATATGTGTTATGGACAATATAGAAGAATAAAGATTATAGAATGACCCATAATTTTACCCCCCCTTGTACTGTTAAGATTTTTAGTACATGTGTGTTATTTCTTTTTTCATGTTGCATTGTATTTGTATACTTCCATACCTATTTCCTGTACAGAATTCAGATACATCGAGGGCAGGGACTATTTTTCTTGACTGTTTCTAAAGCTTCTTTGGCAAATAGTCCTCAACTACAGTGGAGCCAAATGAATAACAGAAGAGCAAAAGGAACAATACGTTGAAGTCAGGAGTCTTGTGTGACATTTATTTATTTTTTTTTAAAGATTTATTTATTTATTTATTAGAGAGAGAGAGAGAGAGCATGAGATGGGGGAAGGTCAGAGGGAGAGCAGACTTCCCGCGGAGCAGGGAGCCCGATGCGGGACTTGATCCCAGGACTCTGGGATCATGACCTGACCCGAAGGCAGACGCTTAACCATCTGAGCCACCCAGGCGCCCCTTTTTATTTATTTCTCAAATAATGCCCCCACAGAGTGGTTTCTGGGCAGCTGTACAAAAAGAATTCATAGACAGCGAAGTCTGGTAATGTTGCCAGCAGGAGCCCTCGCCAAGGCTTTGTCCTTCCGGCCTTCCCTCCGGAGGTAAGCTGGTGAGGGCCACACCCTCGTAGTGCTCGGTGCCCACAGCGCAGGGCAAGCTGGCATGGGAGAGAAGGATGGCGGAGAGGGGCATTGCCAGCCAGCTCTTCTTGGGGTGGGGTCCTCCCTCCCAATAAAGAAGATTTGAAGAAAAGGAGGGCGAGGCCCTAGTTTTTCCTCAGCGGTTGGTCTTCCTGAAACCCCCGTGGGGGAGAGGCAGCGGGTCCCGCCGCCCACGTCCACTTTCCCAGTGCGGGGCCTGTAACCCCGTCAGCTGTAATAAGCTCCTCGAGGTTTCCCCCAACGTGAGTCGAGTTGGAAGAGACCCCTGTGAGTGGAAGCAGGCAGTAGGCGGCGAGCCGGGATAGGACCCCCTTCGTTCCATCTGCGCTGGCAAAGCAGGCTTCGTTCATAAGGGGGTGACCTTGGGAAACAGCAGCTTTTCCTGTTAGTCGACTAAAAAGCCCCCATATGTTGGTGCTAACTTCTTGTCACCTGTTAGTCCTAACTACCGGGTTAAGTCCAAAGACTGGGGGAAGCATATCCATCCCCCAACTATTCCAACATTCCTTCATTTATCCGGTGTTTGTGGGATGCTCGCTGTGTGCTCGGTGCCGTGTTAGGTTCCGGGCTTACGTTACTGTAGTTTGAACAAGACGGGATATTGGCCTGCGCAGGGGGGCTGTTGAGCAGAGGGTCCGCTCAGCGTACACACGGGGGGAGCTGTGGGAGCGGAGGGCAGGTGGCCATCCTCCTTTACGCTGGGGCAGGAAGCTCTGTGGCCCATCGGGAAGGCTGCTGCACTTTCACTTTGGCTTTATCTCAGCTGCCACAAAAATACAGTTTCTTTCTTACTGTTTGTTAAGACTTTTATTTATTTATTTATTTTTTAAAAAGATTTTATTTATTTATTTGACAGAGAGAAACACAGCGAGAGAGGGAACACAAGCAGGGGGAGTGGGAGAGGGAGAAGCAGGGAGCTTGATGCGGGGCTGGATCCCAGGACTCTGGGATCATGACCTGAGCCAAAGGCAGATGCTTAATGACTGAGCCACCCAGGCACCCCTTGTTAAGACTTCTAAAAGTTTCGTTTCCCTCACCTGCCTTTTCACCTTCTTTAGAAACTGAAGAGCCTGGAGAAAGGCGAGTGAAGGGGGTCAGGACAGTCCTGTGTCTCAGCTAAGTTCACCCAGCTTGTCTTGTTCTCAAACTTTGGGTTGCTCACACTTTGATACCCTTTATTTTGTTATTTTTAAAGATTTATTTATTTTAGAGAGAGTGCAGGAGTGTGGAGAGGGGCAGGGGGAGAGGGAGAGAGGGAGAAGCAGACTCTGCACTGAACACAGAGCCCGATGCGGGGCTCGATCTCACAACCCTGAGATCCTGACCTGAGCCAAAACCAAAAGTCAGACGCTCAACTAACTGGGCCACCCAGGCGGCCCTGACACTTTGATACCCTTTAAACGAGCTTTGTGAGTGCACCGAGATGTACTAACTCCACACACACACACCTATCGGACTGGCTCAGATAAAACAGTGACAGCACCAAATGCTGTCAAGGATGGAGATAAACTGGATCACTCATACCTTGCTGGTGGGAATGCTGTTTGGCAGATTTTTCTAGAACTAAATGTTGAACTACCCTGCAACCCAGCAAATGCACTTTTGGACATTTACCCTGGAGAAATAAAAACTTATTTTTACACAAAAAACTGTACACATAGGTTCATGTCGGTTTTGTTCATAGTAACAAAAATTTGGAAACCCACGTGTCCGTCAACAGCTGAATGTGAAGCCATGGGACATCCAGATGATGGCATCCTATAGAGCAAGAAAAAGGAGCAAACTATTAATACCCTCAGTAATTTGGGTGAATCTCCAGGGAATTATGCTGAGTGAAAAAAGCCAATTCCAAAGGTTACATATGAATTTTGAAATAAAACTATAAAATAAAAAAAACACACACAGACACACACACAAAGGAGTATAAGCAAAACTGGAGAAAGGTGGATAAGTGTGTTAGATTGTAGCAATGCCAATATCCTGGTTGTGATATGCTGTGGTTTTGTATAATGTTACCATTGGAAGAAACTGGGTAAAGTGTGCATGGGGATCCCTGTATGTTATTTCTTATAACTGCAGGTGTATCTACAACTATCTCAAAAATCTCAAAAACACTTATCAAATTAGAATTTGAATTTCTAAATTAGAACAGCACCGCCTAGCATTAAATTGAGCTCATGTTGTATTTGTGCACTCAATCAACATGATTCTTTGTGCCTTCTTTTCAAATGACCAATAATTCCCAGTCCTAATCATCGCTTCATTTAAACGAATTTTTAAAACTTGAGCTTGACATGGATTATGTGTGTGATCAAAACTGTGTATCTGCCCAGATTGCCCTGAGAACTCGGGGGGTGGGGAGAGTCCTTCTAGTGAGGAATCAGAGGTATTGTTTTGGAATAAAACATAACACATTTTATTTTATTTACTTTTTAAAAGATTTTATGTACTTATTTGAGAGAGGGAGTGAGTGGGAGGGAGAGGGCGAGAGAGAATCTGAAGCAGATTCCACGCCGAGCACAGAGCCTAATGCGGGGCTCGATCCCAAAACTGTGAGATCACGACCTGAGCCGAAACCAAGAGTCAGATGCTCAACCAACTGAGCCACGCAGGTGCCCTATAACACATTTTATTTTTGGAAAGTTAAATAGTTCCTGGCATATTTGATGTCAGAGGCTTAATACCTGATTCTTAAGCATTTTCACTTAAGAGGTAGGCAAAAGTTTGAAAAATATGTAAGCACTTTTGGAATAGAAATAGGTGGAACAGGGCTGTGTTAGGCCTTTGCATATGAAAATGGTCTTTGAAACACTTGGGAAGAGCCCTCCTCCTCCTCCTCAGAGAAGCAGACCATCCATGATGCTGCTTCCTGGTGGGCAGTTTTGCTCTTCCATTTCCAGCTTATTCTGCCAGTTCCAGATGCGTGTGGAGGGATAGGGGCTGGAGGAGCTGTGTCCTAAGGCTGTATCGATAGTAGGGACTATCCTTCTCTGATACCAGTCAGAAGACAAGGCACGGATGGCTGATCTTGCTGTCAGGAGTTTAGTGGGGTTCTAATTTATATAACAGTTTTTTTTTTTAAATATTTTATTTATTTGAGAGAGAGAGACAGTGAGAGAGGGAACACAAGCAGGGGGAGTGGGAGAGGGAGAAGCAGACTTCCTGCGGAGCAAGGAGCCCGATGCGGGGCTCGATTCCAGGACCCTGGGACCATGACCTGAGCCGAAGGCAGAAGCTTAATGACTGAGCCACCCAGGCGCCCCATAACAGTTTTTTTAAATAGATGATTATTTTTGCCTATTTTACATCTTTTCCTTTATATCACCTGTCTGCCATGGAAGTGTGTGGTAGAGCTGCCTCTCGCCCCTGGGGAGAAGGAGTGGGTGATGTGTGGGATAGTGGAGAACGTGAAGGTGACATTAGAGTGTTTTCTGTGCTGTCTTGGAACAGTAGTACTACATGTTTGTCTGTCTGTCCTGTTGGGCAGGAGGAAGACCGTGGGGAATGAGAATTTGGGGCAGAGTTGTGAGCCTGGACGGTAGCTTTGATGAGCACAGTTAAATTCATCAGAGAATTTTGTTCAGCTTTTTCCAAATTGAAACCCCTTAGTCTGTGGTTAAGTTCCCCAATGAAAGCCGAACAAATAGGCTTCTTCCACATGGATCAAATCATGCTTAATAAAAATGTGGCTGGTATGTGTGTAGCCCATGGAAAAGGATCCCTGGTAGTAAATCCTGTAGATTGTGTTGGAAAAACCTTTTTTTTTTTTCATTTGTTAAAACCAGTTCTTAAAATGGTTTTTGGCAACCTTGTTTCTTATAATTGGACTCTGACCAGAGGTGAGTGTTTGGGGGAAAATTTGAAGCAAATTTATTTGACTGTTTTCTGTGGGCAGTAGGATGGAAAAATAGTAAAACTGAACTGCAGATCTCTCTGATTTTCTTGGAACTTAAAAGAGGCTGACCTAGTCCCTCATTTAAAATGCCCTCTCTTGGGCTGGAGTGTAGGTTTGGGAAAGAATTGTACTTCAACAATATTTTGGAAGAGTCAGCATCTAAAGATGGGATTTACAGTTCATGGTCCACATCTGTCTTTGCCTTAAAGAATTCTTATTTTCGCAAGAAGACCTAAATTCAAGCATTCCCCACTTTTCAACTTGGTGTATTCCTGGAAACCATATATATATATATATATTTTTAAATTAGTTTGCATTCTTTTTTTTTTTTAAGATTTTATTTATTTATTTGACAGAGAGCACAAGTAGGCAGAGTGGTAGACAGAGGGAGAAGGAGAAGCGGGGCTCGATCCCAGGACCCTGGGATCATGACCTGAGCCAAAGGCAGATGCTTAACCACTGAGCCACCCAGGCGCCCCTGGAAACCATATTTTTAAGTGCACACCAAAAAGATTCATCGTATTCCCCTATAGGAATAATAACTAGTATTTGTAGTGTCCTTACTATGTATGCAGATTCTGTTTTTTTTTAAAAATTTTTTATTATGTTAATCATCATACATTACATCGTTTTTGATGTAGTGTTCCATGATTCATTGTTTGTACATAACACCCAGTGCTCCATGCAGAACGTGCCCTCCCCAATACCCGTCACCAGGCTAACCCATCCTCCCACCCCCTTCCCCTCTAGAACCCTCAGTTTGTTTTTCAGAGTCCATCGTCTCTCATGGTTCATCTCCCCCTCCGATTTCCCCCCCTTCATTCTTCCCCTCCTGCTATCTTCTTCTTTCTTTTTCTTAACATATATTGCATTATTTGTTTCAGAGGTACAGATCTG